CCCACCGGGCCGCGCCCCCGCCCGCCATGCACCACCTCCTGGAGCAGTCGGCGGACATGGCGACCGCGCTGCTGGCGGGCGAGAAGCTGAGGGAGCTGATCCTGCCTGGCTCGCAGGACGACAAGGCGGGCGCGCTGGCCGCGCTGCTGCTGCAGCTCAAGCTGGAACTGCCGTTCGACCGCGTGGTCACCATCGGCACCGTGCTGGTACCCATCCTGTTGGTCACCCTGGTCTTCACCAAGAACTTCGCAGGTGAGGCAGAGCGCGCGACCGCAGGTGTTTAGCGCCCAGCGCTCTGAGCGCGCTCGCTCTCAGCGCCAGGCAGCTCGCTCCAGCTGGACCGCACCCACCTGGCCAGGCGGTGAGGCATTGCCCTCGGGTCTCATCCCAGACCTTGGGCAGCACCTCAGTCTGGCAGGAGGGGTTGAAGGGAGACAAGGCCTCCTCGAGAGCCCTACTCAGTTTTATTGTTGTTTGGCTTTGCATTCCTGCAGCCTCCAGCCACGAGGGGAGTAGGCCTGTCTTTGGGACTTGGGGTATGAGTTGTAGAATGTCACAGTGTGGACTGAGGCTTGGAGGAGTAGCCAATGAGGACCAGAGAAGGATGTTGTAAGTGTTGAGAGCCACTGCCCAGGGATAGTGAAAATCCCATGATGCTTCGCGGAATTCACGGGGCCGATAGTATAGGAAAGTGAGGGTACTCCTGAGGAGCTCTGAAGTACCCCCCTCCAAAGGTTTTCTGCAGAAGAGGCCAGACATGGCTGACCCTGGAGGACATCAAGCAGTGATGGCCCAAGAGGCCACCCTTGGCTGGCAAAGGAGGTGTAGGTGGAAACTGGGGCAGGTCAGGAAAGAGACTGAAGTGTTAAGTCAGGGGGGCCTGGTGTAAGAGGAAGCATGTCAGTGCAACTGTGGTCATACCCAGGAAAGTGCCCGTGCACCGTGGGTCCTGCCTAAGGCGATAAAACCAGAACAGCCCAGTGAGCCAACTGGAGACACTAGGGAACTGCCTTCTGGTTTCACACATAGACAGGAAATAGCATCTCCTACCTGGGGCTGAGCTGAGGCAAGGACTCAAGCCTAGGTATCCACATGCACAGGACTAATCTGTGGCCCAGAGGTGCCAGTTTCACAGCAGGAGGAAGGCAGCCAGGGCTCTAGAGTTCCTCTGGAGGGGCAAGTCGGTCTGCCCTCTGCAGCTCCTGGGCAACACGAGCAGGTATTTTGATACCCGTTTCTCCACCATCCTCCACAGGTGCCTTACCTTTCAGGAAACTCCAGGACCTAGAGATGTCCAACCTGAGAGGAGGCGTCCTTCAGACTGCTTAACACTACCTCAAGGGTGGAGGAAGTTCTCCTGGTCTCCATCCTTGCACACCAAAGGCTCTGACACTCAGGATTAGATGTCCCCATAAGCAAGACAGAAGAATGAGGGCACAGTGGGGCCTCCCGTCACACCCAGGTGTGTGCATAAAGGGGCCTTTGGCCCAGCTGGTCACAATGCCGGCCATGGGGTGGCTGGCTTACAACAACAGACGTGTGCCTCGTAGTTCTAGGGGCCAGAAGCCCAAAATCCAGGTGTGGGCAGGGCTGAGTTCTCTGTGAATGCCCTAGAGATGACAAGGACCCTTTCGTCCTGATTAGCTAGTAGCTGCAGACCATCTCTGGTATTCCTTGGCCTGTCGCTGTATCACCCACACTTCGTGTCTGCCCACTATTGGGGATTCCCCCATGTCTGTTTCCGTCCCTTGAGTCACAATGATACCTTAGTGTTGGGGTTACTCTACTTCACTCTCATTTACATCTACACAGACTTTCTGTCAGTCCACAGGTATAGGCTAGGACTGTATTCAGCAGATACTTGGGACCACAGCTCTCCTTATAACACACATAGTAGGGTCACCTCAGATGTGGGTATATACATGGACTGGGCCGTTTCGGTGAATCCCTTGATGTGAGCCCTACCCTCAGACACTGCCAACCCGGCTTGTCACCTGTGAGGACACCGAACACCCTGCATCCAGCTGGGCCTGGAACCATCAGGATGTCCCCAGAGTCAGTCCTGACCCTGGACCTGTTCCTTCAAACCTCCTATGCTTTCTCTCAGAAATGCTTGTGCCCTCCTGAGGCCCACATGTCTAAGCCCATATACCCATGCTAAGCTAGTCCTATTGCAAGTATGAGGAGGGGTTCTGGCCTGCTACAGCATGGACAAGCAGCTATAGTTGACCAGGAATCCTGCTCTTTTCCTAGGAGAACAACCAGCCTTAATCCTACCCTTTGCTCTCCCTGACTTCCTGCACAATTTTGAAGCATTAACTGCTTCTCTTGCCTTTGATTGATATTCAGAACAGTACAGTAGCTTCTTGTGGCTCTTCACCATCCTTTTGCCCCCATAGAAGCTAGAAGCATCCAGGGACCTCAGACACAAGAGAACCGAGTGTGGGGAAAGGGTGCCTTAATGGTTCGTTCTCCCGAGGCCCATCAGAGTGTGGGAACCTCTCAGTGAGAACATAGGAGAAGGTAGGACAGGTGCATACTCAGGACCCTGTGCCAGGGCTCTGACTGGGACCTGCCTGAAGGATTTTGGACTTCTGGCCTCCTGATCTGTGAAGTACGTGTCTGCTGTTTTAAGCCAGCCACCCCACTGCTAGTACTGTAACCAGTATGACCAACAGTCCCTCCTTTTTTTTTTTCCTGCATACACCCGGATTCTGCCTATGGGGCATTCAATCCTGAACGTCAGCGGAGGGTGCTGTGTGGATACCCTCTGAGGAGGAGTCTGCCCTCCTTGTCGTGGGTTCCACTGTGCTAAAATGAATTTCCTTGAGCTCAGCGCTGTTGACCCCGCCAGAGCTGGAGGTAGAGGTCGCAGTGGGGGGGGGGGGGGAGATAGCCCTGGAAAATCTCAGAGGGCTCCCATCTAGAGAGCAGCTGGTGAAGGGGCCAGAAGTGCCATGAAGTAACTCCCCTGCCACTCAGGCAGGAGTGGGGAGCCCATACACAAAGTCCAGAAGCAGGGGGTGGGGGAGGAGGCAAAGAGTCACCAGACTACTCAGACCCAGACTGGGAGGTCAGATAATCAGGTCCCAGGGACTTGGGGGAACTTTTGGGTATCACCTCAGTGTGACCATCCAGCTCATAGAAAGTGGGATGTCACATAGTATGTGTCTCATTCTTAGTGTTCTTCTTTAAAATAGGACAGCTGAAAGCACCCTGTACCCATAAGCACAGGTGAGTCCTGCACCTGGCCTCTGGACTTTTCCTGGGCATCCCACCCAGCAAGATGGATCTCATAGGGGGCCTGTGGGGTGGAGGCACTCAGACACTGGCCCCCGAAAGTCAACCCTTTCTGTCCCAGGTATGGGACAGGCCTGCAGCACTCAGAAGTATCCGCCCATAGCACTGCAGGAAGCGCTAGGATAGAGTACTACCCCCACCTACACGCACAGATGAGGCAGTCAGCCTGCAAGAAGCCAGGGCCACCTGTTATCTGCCCACACTGCGGGAACGGACTAGCACAAACTTAGTGGCTTCAAACAATGTCCAAGTCTAGGGTGTGGCTGGGCAGCAGAGCACTTGCTTCGCGTGCTGGAGGTTGTAGGTTGACCCCCGGCACCTTACACACACCAAAAGGCAAACAAACGAGGCTGGTGAGGTAGCTTAGCAAGTAAAGATGCTTGAGTTTGATCCCTAGAATCCACAGGGTAGGAGGAGAGAACCAATACCCATCAGTTGTCCCCTGACCTCTGTACATATGCCATGGCACACATAACGCCCACATACATACTCATAAACACACACACACACACACACACACACACACATGTTTAAAAATTAAGAGAAACGGTTCTGTAGAAGTGAGTATTACAATGTGGGTAAAATGCAGGCAGGGCTGGTCCTTCTGGAGCTTCCTGTGGCAAGTTCATTCTCCCCTTCAGGACCTAACTACATCATTGTCGTTTGGCTCAGGCCTTCTCTACCCACCCCTGCCCGCCTTTGAAAGGGACTCTTGTGATTTCATTGTCCCACTCAGGTAATCCAGGATCATCTCCCATAAAGTCCTTAATTCCTGCTGTAGAATCATTCTGGCTACACAAAGCGACACAGTAACAGGGCCCAGAAATCATGATACGGTCATCTTGGGAGCTGTCATTCCACCATGAAGGAGTTTGGAAAGACTGTACCTGTCCTGGGGTTGGGGGAGCTGAGAGGACAGTGGTAGCTCTGAACTGGCCAGAGCCAGCAGCCTCAGCAGAACCAGGGATTCCTTGAAAGGTTTTCTTCCTTCCACAAGTGACAGAGGCACAAGTGAGCTGGGCTGTATGTGGACTGGACCCAAGGAGTGGGCTGGACTGTGTCTAGGCTCAAGTTCAGCCCAACCCTGGACAGAATTCCAAATAAAAACCCTCTAGGTCTGTGCTCATACTATTTAGACCTGCTTTTCTGGAGGCTCCAACACGCACTTAGTGCCCTGTGGTTACTGTTGCTGGCTCCATGCCACTGTGACGGGGTAGGCAGTGTCAGTGCTGGACTGGCAAGCAGTTTCCTTGGCTAGGAGCCCCAGTGCACACTCGTGAACAGCAGGGTTCCCAGGAGCCCAAGTATACACATTACAGGATCCTTCAACAGCACTCTCCAGAGATAGCCCTGTCTGTCTTGAAACGGTCCAGCTTTTGTGTGTCTCCTCGTTGAGCACCTGTACTTACCCAGGCAAGACTCGGGAAATCCCACAAGAGGGGCCTCAGTCGGAGAGCTCCGTGCAGCCACTGTAGTGTCTGGGTACCTGCCATCCTGCCCAGTTCAGGCCCAGCACGACGAGTCCACAGCATCACCACCCTGTGGTACCCAGCCATGCTTGAACACTTGCACTCCTCTAGGTCCTTTGGTATCAGCTGTGCCATCAGAAGCACCATGTGCCTCTGCAGACACAGGCCAGCAAAGGAGGAGTTTGGCCCCACTGAATGTGCCCATGGGAGTCAGGGGGTCTTTCCACTCGCTTGTCCAGCTTGCAGCTCGGCTGGCCGTAGGGATTGGCTTGATACAGGGTGGGAGACAAATTTGCAGAGAGAAGACCACGCAACCTTCTGTGGCTTTAGGGATCAGCTGTAAGGACAAAATCTATATATATGTGAATAAAATTCCATTTTTCCAACCAAGAGAGCTGATTCCTTTGCTTCCCCTGTTTGCTCTTCTCAGAGCCCAGCTCACCCTGCCCTGGACACCTGTCCTCCAGGACCTCAGGTTAAAGGGATCAGCTTTCCCTGACTATCCGTAGCCTCCTAGTCAGCCCCTGACCATGACTAGGTGCCCAACTCTCATGTGGACATGGCCTCAGCTTCAAACAACCCCAATACCTGACCATCTAAGCAAGGCTCACTCTGTCTAACTCACCCACACCTCTGCTGGGGCCCTCCATACCTCTCGGGACCGTCTGAGGAAGACCAGTGGCCACATTGGCCCTGCCTTTGGGACTCTCCTTGACTGGGTACTTATGTTCTGGTAGTCCTTGAGCCCTAAGCTGCTTTGAGCCCTCATGATATGTGACTGTGTAGATAGATGGATATACTCCCAAGGTGACCAAGGTCCTAGGCTAAACTAGAATGGGGCCAGAACCCCTAAATGTTGGTACTACAAGAAGAACATGCAGCCAGTGGGGTCCCCCACCTCTTGGGCCCCTGAAGGCATCAACTGTGATTAATGTCTGTTGATTATTTTTCTAGTTGCTGTGGCAGAAACAACCTAACGGAGGAAGGATCTGGTCTGGTTCACAATTTCAGGAAATGCATTCCAACATGGGGAAAAGGCATATGGCTAGGGTGACTCCTGCTGTAGCTCATTCACATCAAGGTGCATACAACCCCTGTAGTCTTCCCCCGGTTTCATGCTTCTAGCTAGACCCCACCTCCCAAAGATGCCACAAACCTACCAAAACAGTGCTACCTGATGGGCACAGATGTTCAAATGCATGAACCTATACAGAAAATTTCATATTCAAACTTGGGGCATGAGGGCTCCAGACAGGGTTTCTCTGTGCAACAGCTCTGGCTGTCCTGGAACTCTCTTTGTAGACCAGGCTGACCTCCAACTCACAGAGATCTGTCTGCCTCTACCTCCCAAGTGCTGGGATTAAAGGCGTGCACTGCCACCACTTGGCCATATTCAAACTCTTAAATTGGTCTTCCTGCTGGGCTGGGTCTCTGCCATCTCCCTATCTGCGTTAACTCGAGACTAGGTACAGACAGACTGTCCAATTAGATTGTGTTACTTCTTGATTTCAACACTGACGAAGGGCTTCAGCCTGGAGCAGGAGAGGCTTCTAGCTGACCTGCCCTGGGGCCAGGCTTGACGGTAAGAGCTGGCTAAGGAGGAATTGGCTTGGGTTAATGCCACAGGTGGCCATGGTCTGTACCTAGGGATCTTGACCCAATCTGGTGGGCTTTGAGCCTCCAAGTTTTCTGGAAGTGAATTACAGGCGTAAGATTGCAGCACAAGGCTGATCCTGGCCTGGTGCGAGCATGTGTACCCACTTAAGTGCAAACAGGCCCTGTTCATTTTCAGTAGCAGATGCATCCAGCCGCTGAGCATCCGCTGTCCGTGTCCACCAGCATCCAGAGTTCCCACACTGCCCTTCCTCCAGGACAGGAGACTTGTGAGACCCTTTTCGCCCGTCTTAGACAATCTTTTCTCACAGAATTTGGACTTCTGTGACTGCCTCTGGCTAGAGAGGAGCATCCAGGCCACCAGTCCTGACAGCACAAAGCCAGTGGCCGGGATTGGTTTTTGGTCCTTGTGGGAAGCAGAAAGGGGAACCCTGGCTGCCGGCATGGCCTGTCGTGATCCTCTCTATACCTTGGTTTGTCCTGTACAAGACTGTAAAGTCTTTCTGGCTTTTCTAGACCAGCTCTGGTCTTCCTCAGTGCTTCCAAACAGGTCTTAATCCCTGGCTAACTACTTTGTAAGGATGGGAGCTACACACACAACACTGTTCTCGGGACATGGTGAGGGAAAACTGGCCTAAGGGGTGAGTCCGTTAGGAAGTAACAGCCCTGGCATAAGGCAAGCAGCTCTGTGGGTGGGGCTATAGAGGCCATGAACATGAGAGAGCCCAGCCACCCGCACAGGGGATAGGTCTGAGCAGAGATGGGATCGGGTCTATCCCATGCCCTTCATCCCAAGACCTGGTCTTCCTCAGGCTACTCCCACCTCTTGCCCTAGCCCATGTCTCCTCTCTACCCTCAGAGGAACCAATTTACTGTTACACTCCGCACAACTTCACCCGTGACCAGGCGCTGTACGCCCGTGGCTACTGCTGGACAGAGCTGCGGGATGCGCTGCCCGGCGTGGATGCCAGCCTGTGGCCATCGCTGTTTGAGCACAAGTTCCTGCCCTACGCACTGCTGGCCTTTGCCGCCATCATGTACGTGCCCGCACTGGGCTGGGAGTTCCTGGCCTCCACGCGCCTCACCTCCGAGCTCAACTTCCTACTTCAGGAGATTGACAACTGCTACCACCGAGCGGCTGAGGGCCGGGCCCCCAAGATTGAAAAGCAGATCCAGTCCAAGGGGCCGGGCATTACGGAGCGGGAGAAGCGAGAGATCATCGAGAATGCTGAGAAGGAGAAGAGCCCTGAGCAGAATCTGTTTGAGAAGTACCTGGAGCGCCGGGGCCGCAGCAATTTCTTGGCCAAGCTGTACTTGGCACGGCATGTACTGATTCTGCTGCTCAGTGTAGTGCCCATCTCCTACCTATGCACCTACTATGCCACCCAGAAGCAGAATGAGTTTACCTGTGCCCTGGGAGCCTCACCTGACGGGCCAGTGGGTAGCGCTGGGCCCACGGTGCGTGTCAGCTGCAAGCTGCCATCCGTGCAACTGCAGCGGATCATTGCAGGTGTGGACATTGTCCTGCTCTGCTTCATGAACCTCATCATCCTAGTCAACCTCATTCACCTCTTCATCTTCCGCAAGAGCAACTTCATCTTTGACAAACTCCACAAGGTGGGCATCAAGACGCGCCGGCAGTGGCGGCGCTCACAGTTCTGCGACATCAACATCCTGGCCATGTTCTGCAATGAGAACCGTGACCACATCAAGTCGCTCAATCGGCTGGACTTCATCACCAACGAGAGTGACCTCATGTACGACAACGTGGTGCGGCAGCTGTTGGCAGCCTTGGCTCAGTCTAACCATGACACCACGCCCACTGTGCGGGATTCAGGCATCCAGACTGTGGACCCCAGTATCAACCCTGCAGAGCCCGATGGCTCAGCTGAGCCACCTGTGGTCAAGCGGCCCCGTAAGAAAATGAAGTGGATCCCCACCAGCAACCCGCTGCCACAGCCCTTCAAGGAGCAACTGGCCATTATGCGTGTGGAAAACAGCAAGGCCGAGAAGCCCAAGCCTGTACGCAGGAAGACAGCCACAGATACGCTTATTGCCCCGCTGCTGGATGCTGGTGCCCGGGCTGCCCACCACTACAAGGGTAGTGGAGGTGATCCAGGTCCCTCCCCTGCCCCACCTGCTGCCTCTGACAAGAAACATACTCGTCACTTCTCCTTGGATGTGCATCCCTACATCCTAGGTACCAAGAAGGCCAAGACTGAAGCAGTTCCCCCTGCCCTACCAGCCTCCAGGAGCCAAGAAGGTGGCTTTCTGTCCCAGACAGAAGAATGTGGGCTGGGCCTGGCTGCAGCACCCACCAAAGGTAGGGAGCCAGGCAGGTGGGAGATGGGGCAGGATGGAGATTCCCAGGGAGCCCTGAGCAGGAAACTGGCAGTCTCTTTGTCTAGGACACAGGGCAGAAAACACCAGAGAACAATGTAGGTGAAGTGGCAACCAGGCTAACTAGCTTGGTCCTAGCAGTTAGCGTTGTTCCTAAGGTGAAGGGCAGGCCTCCCATAAGGCAGAGGACGGGGAGGAAGGCAGGACCGCAGTCACCAGGGAACATATCTTCTTTGGTCAATACAGACTTCAGGCAGATGTGAGCCGCTGCAGGGGATGGGGGATGTTCCGCCAACAGCCCTGCTATTTCTAGACAGTGAGACTTAGCCAGGCAGGCTGCTAAATGCAAGGGTGCCTGCCGTCCGTGGATGCTAAGGGTTCAGTAGGTCCCGTGGGTAACACTGGGAGGGCTATAGGAATGAGGAAGATGGTAAAATGCCTGTGTTCCTGCCTGTTTGCAGATGCTCCGCCCCCTGAGAAGGAACTCCCATACCCCACAGAGCCTTCCCTGCCAGGGCTTCCATCTGGGGGCCCGTTTCACGTCTGTTCACCCCCCGCGGCTCCTGCTGCCGCCCCCCTGTCACCGGGCAGTCTGGGCAAGGCTGACCCCCTCACCATCCTGAGCCGAAATGCCACTCACCCCCTGCTCCACATCAGCACGCTGTATGAGGCCCGGGAAGAGGAAGATGGAGGTCCCTGTGCACCCTCAGACATGGGCGACCTCCTCACCATTCCCCCACCCCAGCAGATCCTCATTGCCACCTTCGAGGAGCCAAGGACAGTTGTGAGTACTGTGGAGTTTTGAGGGGCAAGGCCTCCCAGGCCGCCAAAAACTCTCTGCATGAGCCAGGGATGGCCCAGCTGAGCCTAGCCTTGAGTAGACCTGAACTCTGCTCACCCGGTACTGCCCACACCCCCAGCCTCCTGTCTGCATGCCACGGGGCCCAGCACTCCTTCCACCTGGCTCACCATGGCATCCACAGGTGCAGGCTGGGGCAAGAGTGCCAGGTAGGGGGTAGGATACCCCCCCAGCATCAGCCCCCCCTCCCACCGCTGCGTAGTGGGCCTCAAGCTGGAGAGTTTATTTTTCTTGTGGGTTTCATTGTATGCTGAGACAGCTCAGCAGACCTAGTGAGGCCCGGCCTAGGGTGTGTAAGGGAGATGCTGAGAAACGTGGCACTGGCCTCAGGACAGACCCCCCCAGGGGTCGCTCATTTAAGGGCCTGGCCCCTGCAGAGGGACCTGATGCCTTCAGGTGGGGGAACCGAGGGCTGCCCCAGGTCCAGATCAACATGCACTTTCTCCTCATAGCCTGACACACACTTTATTTTACTATGATTACTGTAACTGACACGCTTCTTTATCATCAGGAGAATTAGGGTGCATTTCAAGCAAAGGATGGTGTGTGTGAGTGTCACACGCCGAGGTGGGTGTAAGCGTGCAGGTCAGCAGGTGTGGCTATGAGCACCTGCCTGAGTGCTTGAGTTTGCCAGAGGGCACAAGTGCCCACGCGCAAGCAAGCTCATGAGCAAGTTAGGGGGCAAGCGTGGTGTGAGTGAGCCTGAGTGTGTGTGAGTGTGCGAATGGCACCCACGTGAGCAGTGGGTGAGAGCAGACATAGACACCAGGGTGCGAGTGAGGGAGGAAATACAACGCAATAACCACATCCCCCTCCCGGGTCCCCAGCTGCCGGCTGGGCTGCTTCCCATGGGAGTCCAGACCCCACTGGCCCCACCCCTATTACCTCAGCCACGCGCCACGTGACGAAGTATTAACAAGGTAGCACTGAGCATATCAATAAATACTATTCTGATAACTCCCTGTGCTTTGAGGCCCTGCCTCCCTGTGCTAGTGCAGCCTGCCCAGCCTGCAACACCCATCCGCACCTGGGCATCTCTTGGAGTCACTGGGAAACAGTGGGCAGGGCCAGGCAGCCCAAGATGCAAGACCATCAGGCCTCCACCCAGAAGTGTGAGGAGGGGGATCGTGGGGTGCTGGACTGTGGGGCTGTGGGCGGACAGAGTATTAGGAGAACTCTCTGGGGAAGTATATAGTATCTTAGTCCTGTTCTATGGCTGTGAAGAGACACCAGGACCAAGGCAACTTAAAGAAGAAAGCATTTATTCGGGGGGTCGGTTACAGCTTCAGCACAGCACGGTGGGAGCACAGCATATGCAGGCGTGGCACAGCAGCAGTAGCAAAGCGACATCCTGATCTGCAGATCTGCAGGCAGGAAGCAGGGACAGAGTGGGTCTGGCTTTTGAAACCTCAAAGCCCACCCCAGTGACATACCTTCTCCAACAAGGCTGCATTGCCAGATTCTTCCACAACAAGCTACCAGCCGGGAATCAAACATTCAAATATATGAGCGCACAGAGGCCATTCCTCTTCAAACCACCACATACAGCTTGGCCCCAGGCCATTAAGTGACCACAGAGACCAGTGACCACAGAGGTGGCAGGATCCAGGAAGAGCTCTTGGATCGTAGGTCCTGACTGTGGTCAGGATGCACTTATCCTGTTCATTAGAAGGTCCACAGTAAGGTTTCAACCTCAGGTCCAGGGTTCAGTGAGACAAAGCTGACCCTCGAGAGCCACAGGCCCTGCAGGCCAGGGTAGGTGACCCTGTGGGTCTGAACAAGAGACTCCTTGAAGATCGGTGGCTGAGGAAGCGAGGCCAGGAATTCATAAGACATTCGGGGGGGCATAGTCTGTATATCAAAGGGGAGAGGCTCAGCTGGGGTCAGGACAGCCACCTCTGGCTTCTGCCTCCTGAAAGCTCCTTTAACTAGCCATGGCGCAAGACCAAGGTGGGCAGGACAAAATGCTCCCATGTCCTCCACTGCGGCAGCCACTGCCACAGTCAAAGCCTAAACATGCTGACCATGCAGAGACCACATTCTGGTTAGATTATTTGTTTTAAGATGGTTTGTTATCATCCACTTAAAGCTAAAACAGATCACAGGACCCCTGCCCCCATTGATTTAGTTGGGGGGATGCTAGGCGCCAGTCCCAGTGCTTGCATATGCTAAGCAAGTGTTCTATTGCTCAGTTACACCTCCAGCTCAGATGCCTGCCATAGAAAGGGGGTTTGTTGCTCATAGACAATAGAGGGGACACCCCACATCACACAGGGCCACACACCAGAGAGCACCGGAGTGAGGCACTATGGGGAAGTGAAAGACAACATCATCCAGTATGGATAGCTTCCTTGGAGTGACTGGGGCAGGTGGATAGTGGCCCAGACTGGGGAAGGGGTAGTGATGGGCACCACACCTAGTATTACCTGCCAACTCTGGGGAGTGGCCTGCCTTTGAAGATGGACACCTGTCCAGAGCCAGCAAACTCCCAGGTCAGCAGATCAGAGTATAGAAGACAGCCAGGTGTGGTACCACAGCATTTCATTCCAGCATTCGGGAAGCAGAGACAGGCAGATCTCTCTGAGTTTGAGGCCAGCCTCATCTACATAACTAGTTCCAGGCCAGCCAGGGCTACATAGTGTGACCCTGTCTCAGAATCAAACCAAAACCACAAACAATACATACAGTATAATACAGAAAATGCACCCTGTCCTCAGAAAGCCCACCCTGAGCTAATGCTGGACACCATCTGGCATCTCAGGTAGCACTCAACATTTCCACACATTCTAGGAAGGGGCTTCTGAGACTCAAAAGGAACCCTGGGAGAACAGCGGGATGCCTCTAGGCTACTTGCTTCCCTGGAGAAGACCCACACCCACAAAATGGCATGGCAGCTAAAGTAACAACAACAAAAAAACCCTCAGGGTGTTGGCCTCTTCCCTGTTCCCTGGCCCTCTCCGCTCACTTCTACTTCCTGCATGTGGTACCTAGTGCACCCTGCATGTCTTCTACCCACTCCTCACAACTGCGTCTCAGCCTGAACACTCAGGGGCTGGGCTCAGAGGGGGAGACTCTAGGGAGCTGCTGGTCCGTGTGGTGCCAAGTCCAGCAGCTTTACTTTCCTCAGAGGCCCTGTTTCCCCGTTCATGAAGGCAAGTGCCACTGGCCATAGAATGTCCAGACCGTGGCCGGGCCTGCTATCCCAGAGCTTATACAGGGCAGAAGTAGACATGGGAGAGGCTGGACCAATTGGAGCCACAGCTGGCTCTTGGGGAGAACCAAGGCCAATAAAATAGCCACTTCTCTCCTCTATTCTTGGATTAAGCCTAGAGGGACCTCTCAGGGGAGTCCTGTCTGGAAGAGATTGGTAAAATGAGAAAACAATGTTGTCTCTCTGTGTGGAACTGACCTTCAAGGGGCTGCTTCTGGAGAAGGGGCTCAAGTCAGTGTCCTGCAGAAGCTGACGTGGTGGTCCTGGGCATACTACCCCCTCACTCCTCAGCAGTGTCCTCTGGTGCCATGTTCCCATTAGCTAGTCTACCTTTCTGGAAGCAGATGGCCAAGGACCTGAAGACAGAATTGTGATCCCTGGGGCCACACTGAGCTGAGTCCCTTGCCAATTTGGGCTCCCTTTCTGGCCTCTACTCCAGCTCTGCTTCTGTGGGGCCTGTCTGGTTCGGGGTTGTCTCTGCTGTTCTCAAACCCAAGCTTTCCTTATGGCACCCCTTAAAGCTAACTAGGAACCCGGGAAAGCCTTCCACACTCTGCACTCACAGTGGCTTCAGAAAGCTCCTTTCTCTTCCGTGGCTCTGGCCACGTTGAACCCTTTCACGGCAAGCCTTGCCTGCACTGGCTCCCTGTATGAGTTACCTCAGAAAGCCCATCCAGTGGCCTCCTCCCATCTGGCCAACTCTGTGACAAGTAACCCATTCGCCTCGTGGCAGACCAGAACCCGCTCGAACAAAAAGCACACGGGAGCAGCTGTTGGAGGGCAGAACTCAAGCTAGCATGCTGTTCTCCCAAGCAAAGTCTAAGATATAGGGGAGACCTGGGCTCTCCTAGCTGGGGGTCTGCCATAGTTTACCTGTTATGGCTGAAAATGCCCCCCCCTCCCAGACACCATTTCCTATTTCTGGCTCCTGTAGACACCAGCAGGTTAGAGGGCATCTCTGGTTTTCATCACCTTCCTTCCCCAACAGCCACTTAGCCAAAATAGAATTCTGGCACTTCAGGGTCAGCATCTATTTTAAATGTCACCCCATTTAATGTCCTCTGCCTTCTTCCCTCTTTCCCTAGGCAGGGCAAATGGGAGGTGGCACCATAGCCTGCCCACAGAAAAGGACAGGCTCAGGGGGAACCATCCAAGCCAACGAGAACTGGAATCCAGGCCTCTTCCTGACACTAGCCTAGCACTAAGCTTTTCAACCAGACAGTACAGGTACTGGGACAGTAACCTCACTGTGCCTTGTGACCAAGTAGAGAGGGGCTGGCAGTCTGTCAGCCCTAAGCCCATCCCTGCCTCCTGCTGAGCTGCATGAATGTGGCCAAGGAAGCCAGAAGAGGAGAGGTGACCACAAAGCACAGGCATGAAAGTTGTGAACAACAGGGACAGATCCGAGACCCCTAGAACAAAGATGTGTATCACTAAGGAGCAAGGAAGGCAGAGGTCACCTGGAAGCCAGGCCCCTTGGGGGATCAAGAAGCTGTATGGGGGAGACGGCGACTAGTAGCACAGCAAATACCTGCCACTCGTCTCCATGTGGACCTCTTGTGTAACAGCCTGCTGGAGGGAACCCTGCCTGGTGCAGAAAGGAGGTTCTAGAAGGGCCATTCAGAGAACCAATATCAAAGGCAGGGTCTCCAAAACCCAGGGCCAGGGCTGCAACCTTTCCCCTCTTGGAGTCTGAAAGGGTTGTATGGGGCACTTGAGAAATGAGCAGAGTTTACTCCCCGTTTGAAAGGTCTGTCAGGGCCTGCTCTGGGTTGTTGCTCAAACGGAGAAATGTCCACTCTGACTCCACCTGACTTCTCCCATCCACTCACCAACCTTGGGCGGGAGGACCAGCAGCCCTTTGCAGCCTCGAGACCTGGCCTGAGTGGGCCAATTGGCCCCACCCACTACCCTGTTCCAAAGTGCAGTTGGAGACTGGTTACCCTGATACTGGGCACTGGCCAGGCTGTCACCGGGGCCCCGCCCACCCAGAGACCCCGCAGTTTCCAGACTCTCGGTCATATGCAACGGAACTCGCGAGGTCCTGAAGGCCTTGATGACTGACTTGGACCAGCTTCTTGCTCCTTAGTCCTGTCCTTGTGCCTCTCCATCTGGCGGCGTGTGATCCTCCAAGAAAGCCATAAGGGCGCATCATACGATCCCTAGTTTCTGTCCCTTTCCAGCGCTGCGGACTGTTTCCTGAACGCTAGGCCACCGTGTGGACACCTAAAGAACGCAGCCCCATTGCACAGACTTGGCTGTGGGGCCGGCACCCCGCAGAGTGTCCCCCGGTTGAGCTCTAGGACCTGGGGGCGTCGGGCCGGTAGGCGGGGCCCTGCGCTTAGACCCGGCGGGGGCGGGGTCTCTCACGCGCGCGGCCCAGGGAGGCATTTCCCGGCATGCCGTGCGGCCCGCACCCCAGGTCCTAGAGCTCAACCGGGGGACACTCTGCGGGGTGCCGGC